GCTCCTTGTCCTCATACCCCAGCTCCTTGTCCTCATATCCCAGCTCCTTGTCCTCATACCCCAGCTCCTTGTCCTCATATCCCAGCTCCTTGTCCTCATATCCCAGCTCCTTGTCCTCATACCCCAGCTCCTTGTCCTCATACCTCAGTTCTTTGTCCTCATATCCCAGCTCCTTGTCCTCATATCCCAGCTCCTTGTCCTCATACCCCAGCTCCTTGTCCTCATATCCCAGCTCCTTGTCCTCATACCCCAGCTCCTTGTCCTCATATCCCAGCTCCTTGTCCTCATATCCCAGCTCCTTGTCCTCATACCCCAGCTCCTTGTCCTCATACCTCAGTTCTTTGTCCTCATATCCCAGCTCCTTGTCCTCATATCCCAGCTCCTTGTCCTCATATCCCAGCTCCTTGTCCTCATATCCCAGCTCCTTGTCCTCATATCCCAGCTCCTTGTCCTCATATCCCAGCTCCTTGTCTTCATATCCCAGCTCCATGTCCTCATACCTCAGCTCCTTGTCCTCATATCCCAGCTCCTTGTCCTCATATCCCAGCTCCTTGTCCTCATACCCCAGCTCCTTGTCCTCATACCCCAGCTCCTTGTCCTCATACCCCAGCTCCTTGTCCTCATACCTCAGTTCTTTGTCCTCATATCCCAGCTCCTTGTCCTCATACCCCAGCTCCTTGTCCTCATACCCCAGCTCCTTGTCCTCATACCCCAGCTCCTTGTCCTCATACCCCAGCTCCTTGTCCTCATACCCCAGCTTCTTGTCCTCATGCCCCAGCTCCTTGTCCTCATACCCCAGCTTCTTGTCCTCATACCCCAGCTCCTTGTCCTCATACCCCAGCTTCTTGTCCTCATACCCCAGCTCCTTGTCCTCATACCCCAGCTTCTTGTCCTCATACCCCAGCTCCTTGTCCTCATACCCCAGCTCCTTGTCCTCATACCCCAGCTCCTTGTCCTCATACCCCAGCTCCTTGTCCTCATACCCCTTCCAAGTTCAATCATACTGGTTTAGTGTTTGCTTCTGATAATTTCTTATCGTGTCCAAAGGTGCTTCGTCTTGTGAAGGAGTTTGATTCAATCAATCGACGCTCACCTTCCTAAGGTGACATTCCTGGGGTCACAGTACATGGAGTCACAGTACCTGGTGTCACAGTACCTGGGGGTCACAGTACCTGGGGGTCACAGTACCTGGGGGTCACAGTACCTGGGGGTCACAGTACCTGGGGGTCACAGTACCTGGGGTCACAGTACCTGGGGGTCACAGTACCTGGTGTCACAGTACCTGGGGGTCACAGTACCTGGGGGTCACAGTACCTGGTGTCACAGTACCTGGGGGTCACAGTACCTGGGGGTGTCACAGTACCTGGGGGTGTCACAGTACCTGGGGTCACAGTACCTGGGGGTCACAGTACCTGGGGGTCTCAGTACCTGGGGTCATAATACCTGGTGTCACAGTACCTGGGGGTCACAGTACCTGGGGGTCACAGTTCCTGGGGGACACAGTACCTGGGGGTGTCACAGTACCTGGGGGTCACAGTACCTGGGGGTCACAGTACCTGGGGTCACAGTACCTGGGGGTGTCACAGTACCTGGGGGTGTCACAGTACCTGGGGTCACAGTACCTGGGGGTCACAGTACCTGGGGGTCTCAGTACCTGGGGTCATAATACCTGGGGTCACAGTACCTGGAGGTAACAGTACCTGGGGTCACAGTACCTAGGGGTCACAGTACCTGGGGGTCACAATACCTGGGGGTCACAGTACCTGGGGGTCACAATACCTGGGGGTCACAGTACCTGGGGGTCACAGTACCTGGGTGTCAGAGTACCTGGGGTCACAACACCTGGAGGTCACAGTATCTGGGGTCACAGTACATAATGCCACAGTACCTGGTGTCACAGGGTCCTGTAACTCATTGGTCAGTGAAGTCGGTCGCATTGGAAAGGTCCAGGGTTCGACTCCCGCGGAAGGATAGAACTGTTCCGGCACCTTTCCTTTCACCTGATGCCTCGATTCACCAAGCAGTAAAAGGTCTCTGGGAGCTAACAAACTGTGGTGGGTGTTATCCTGGGGGGGGATTAGTAGTTCGCCTAGGGTGACCTTACACCTGATGTCTCTGTTCACCTAGTATTCAATAGGTACCTGGGAGCTGAAGAGACTTCCTATCCCAGAGAATGAGAAGCCGTATCTCTAGTATCTCACACCTGGCTTCTCTCAACCCCGCACACACACACACACACACACACACACACACACACACACACACACACACACACACACACACACACACACACACACACACACACACACACTCAAAACGTCTTAGAACAAGTCTGACATTGCTAAATGGAAGGTACCCACAGGACATTGTTCCAGAATCTGAGCTTACCTTGGAGTTGTTCCGGGGCTTAGCGTCCCCGCGGCCCGGTCATCGACCAGGCCTCCTCGTTGCTGGACTGGTCAACCAGGCTGTTGGACGCGGCTGATCGCAGCCTGACGTATGATTCACAGCCTGGTTGATCAGGTATCCAAAACACACACACACACACACACACACACACACACACACACACACACACACATACACCCTGGAGCGAAAGAACTTTGTAACACAGCATCAACATGGATTCAGGGATGGCAGGTCCTGCCTCACAGGGTTACTTGAATTCTACGACCAGGCAACAAAAATAAGGCAAGAAAGAGAAGGGTGGGCAGACTGCATATTTTTGGATTGTCAGAAAGCCTTTGACACAGTGCCACACAAGAGGCTAGTGAAAAAACTGGAGATGCAGGCTGGAGTGAAAGGGAAGGTACTCCGTTGGATACAGGAGTACCTAAGTAACAGGAGACAAGGAGCCAGTGTGAGGGGTGAGGTCTCAGATTGGCGAGACGTTACGAGTGGAGTACCGTAGGGGTCAGTCCTTGGACCTATACTGTTTCTGATATATGTAAATGATCTTCCAGAGGGTATAGAATCGTTTCTCTCAATGTTTGCCGATGATGCAAAAATTATGAGGAGGATTGAAACTGAGGACGATAGTAGGAGGCTACAAGATGACCTAGACAGACTGAGTGAATGGTCCAACAAATGGCTGTTGAAGTTCAACCCGAGTAAATGCAAAGTAATGAAACTAGGTGGTGGAAATAGGAGGCCAAACACAGGATACAGAATAGGAGATGAAGTACTTAATGAAACGAACAGAGAGAAAGATCTAGGAGTTGATATCACACCAAACCTGTCTCCTGAAGCCCACATAAAAAGAATAACGTCTGCGGCATATGCGAGCCTGGCTAACATCAGAACAACGTTCAGGAACCTGTGTAAGGAATCATTCAGAATCTTGTACACCACATATGTAAGACCAATCCTGGAGTATGCGGCCCCAGCATGGAGCCCGTACCTTGTCAAGCACAAGACGAAGCTGGAAAAAGTCCAAAGGTATGCCACTAGACTAGTCCCAGAACTAAGAGGCATGAGTTACGAGGAAAGGCTGCGGGAAATGCACCTTACGACACTGGAAGACAGAAGAGTAAGGGGAGACATGATCACAACCTACAAAATCCTCAGAGGAATCGACCGGGTAAACAAGGATAAACTATTCAACACTGGTGGGACGCGAACAAGGGGACACAGGTGGAAACTGAGTACCCACATGAGCCACAGGGACGTTATAAAGAACTTTTTCAGTGTCAGAGTGGTTAACAGATGGAATGCATTAGGCAGTGATGTGGTGGAGGCTGACTCCATACACAGTTTTAAATGTAGATATGATAGAGCCCAGTAGGCTCAGGAATCTGTACACCAGTTGATTGACAGTTGAGAGGCGGGACCAGAGAGCCAGAGCTCAACCCCCGCAAGCACAAATAGGTGAGTACAAATAGGTGAGTACACATACGTTTTCTCCCAAGGTTCTCAAAACAGGAATCGTCGAGAAAGGGAACGTCAACAGACGTACCCTCTGGCCAAATTGGGGTAAGTAACGTTGACGTCTTGTTGAATCAACGTCTAGAATGTTGACTACGTTACTCGAGCTCGTTCTTCCCTCCGAGCATAACGAGCAAACGTAACGTCAATACGTTTATAAACGTTATTAGCATGTCAATAACGTAAAAATATAACACTGAGGATAAGTTTTGCGTTTTTAAGAACAAGAGGAAGATTTAAGTATTTACACATATATATATATATATAAATAGAAATATTATTATATTATATATATATATTATATATATATATATATATATATATATATATATATATATATATATATATATATATATATATATATATATATATATATATATATTATCCAACAGGAATGGTGCTGCTTTCGTTTACCTGTCGGATGAAAATCATTACTTGGTAAAAAAAAAAAATACATATATGTATACTGCAACTAGCACTGATATGGTAACAAATTATTTTAGTCAATCATTATGTATTATATTAGAAACACTGACGAAATTGTTTAATTCTTTATTACTATGAATTGATCTATTGCAAATGTATAGTTTAATTTGTCTTTAAGCAATAATTATATATATATATATATATATATATATATATATATATATATATATATATATATATATATATATATATATATATATATATATATATATATATATATATATATATATATATATATATAACGCCGACCTACGCCGCCTCCACAATCACCTCCTTCAAGAGTCTTAAAAACTCTTACGTCTAATTCATTTCAAACCATTAAACGTTGGCCACAATACATATCACAACGTTTCTCAACATTTTTTTAACAACGTTCGTGACAATGTTCAGCAAATGTCCATTTTAACATTTGTCCTTCAATACACTCAGAAATCACAGGTACACTGTTAAAATAGTTTATAATAATTTGCACTGTAGGTGTTTACAAAAATATGCCATTTTACATCACACGAATCCCAGCCATATTTCAAGGTGTGAGGATGGAACTGAATTTTAGGGAGTCGAAGGGTCGAAGAGAGAGCTTTAAGTCAAGTGAGTGAGTGTGTGAGTGTGTGTGTGTGTGTGTGTGTGTGTGTGTGTGTGTGTGTGTGTGTGTGTGTGTGTGTGTGTGTGTGTGTGTGTGTGTGTGTGTGTGTGAGTCTGAAGTAGTCGGCAGACACAACAGGGAAAGTGAAGGGTGGAATACATAGAATACAAAATTAATTAGCTGGAAAAAAGAGACATTTGGAATGACGACAGAGAAACATGCTGGCCAGATAAACAGGCGTCTGTACAAGCTAGACTGGCAGGCATGGACGCATCAGCTACGACGACGGATCAGGCAGGCTGTTGTGGATGGCGTGAGGCTCGGCTAGGAGAGACTCTCGGACAGCCTTGACGAAGCGATTGCTAGAGGCCCCACTTGTCCTGGCGTGAATGCTTCCTCTTGGCCGGAGCGTTGATGTGGCAAGGAGCTTTGCCCACGGCCCATCTGTGCTGTCTCGTAGAGCTGTTTCTGCATCACTGCGAGGGACACCTGCCATATAGAAAACGGGAACCTTCAAAACGTCTGCACAATGGACTATAAACCTTTAAATCACCTTTACAATGGACAGGAAACACAACATAAAACTGTAATCATCTTGTAAAAAAAACAATGTTCTTGCGTTAAGTGCGTAATCGGGGAGTTAGTCACCCCTAATTATTAAATTGCATAGAATAGTTTGTTGACATTCAATCATCAAAAGATGATAGTACATATAGTGACTGTGAAAGTGTGTTTTCAAATATGGACCATAGCACCAAAAATCTCCTTCCTTTGTACATTTAATATAAACTAATCAACATTCAAATAAAGTGCATAGGCCTAGCCAACACCCTAATGTAACCTCTCTTCTGCCTAATTCCATAGGCCTACGTATATGTATTATACTAGAGAAGAGATTAGGTAAGGGAGTTGCTTTTTTTTTTTTTGCTGGGCTTTTCTATAAAACAGCACAAAAAAGAGGATTTTGTTTGATAGAGAAGCAAATATTAACATTGTGTAGATATAATCCACAGTCAGTATATGTTCTATCATTCAGGAGGGATATGTTGGCTTGTGTTCACATTGTGTAGATATAATCCACAGTCAGTATATGTTCTATCATTCAGGAGGGATATGTTGGCTTGTGTTCACATTGTGTAGATATAATCCACAGTCAGCATATGTTCTATCATTCAGGAGGGATATGTTGGCTTGTGTTCACATTGTGTAGATATAATCCACAGTCAGCATATGTTCTATCATTCAGGAGGGATATGTTGGCTTGTGTTCACATTGTGTAGATATAATCCACAGTCAGCATATGTTCTATCATTCAGGAGGGATATGTTGGCTTGAAATAACTTTGATGGTGGGTAGAGATGGCGTTCTTTTTGTTCTAACATCCTCATTAAAGAACATGTGTTTGAGCAATGCCATGGGCTCGAACTCGCGTCCCCAGACGTGACCTGGGACGCTAGGTAAGGCAATTATCAGGAAAAAGCGCTAAATTCATTACGACTTCCATTATAGCATTAGCAAGGGGGATTCGAGGATGAGGAATAGGGCGAAAGAAAGGAATGGTGACCATCCAGACCGGGACGCAAGTTCGAGTCCATTTCATAGCTCCAAGTGATGTTCTCAGAGATATATATATCACACTCTTGTGATTTCATTATGCAAGAATCATTTTCTTCTGCTATTATTAGCAAAAAGTTCAACAATATATGTTATTTATATGATTAAAATGAGTTTTGGAAACAGAGCGGAGCACCAGAATGGTCAATTATAGTGAGTATAATTCCTAATTATAGTGAGTATAATTACTAATTATAGTGAGTATAATTACTAATTATAGTGAGTATAATTACTTTGACATTACTAATAAAACCACTCAAATTCCTATGATACTAAAACAAAGTTAAAATTCTTCAATTCAAGTGAATTCAGTCAAAATTAAAATAAAACGTGGGTTTGCATATTTTTTTTAGTAAGTGCTAGTTATCCAAAAATTAAGACAATCTTCTACCAAACCCCACAAGCTAGCCACAACGTTCATTTTACGACGGTACACGGTAACCTTGTAGCGACGTATAAATAACGTTTGGGGAACGTTGTTTGTGGAAGAGTAGAGGAAGCCGAGTGGACGGTGCTGTGTGTGTGTGTGTGTGTGTGTGTGTGTGTGTGTGTGTGTGTGTGTGTGTGTGTGTGTGTGTGTGTGTGTGTGTGTGTGTGTGTGTGTGTGTGTGTGTGTGTGTGTGTGTGTGTGTGTGTGTGTGTGTGTGTGCGTGTGTGCGTGTGTGTGTGTGTGTGTGTGTGTGTGTGTGTGTGTGTGTGTGTGTGTGTGTGTGTGTGTGTGTGTGTGTGTGTGTGTGTGTGTGTGTGTGTGTGTGTGTGAGGTGCGAGCGGCCGCCGCTGTGGAATTCAAACATCAAAATTGTGCAACTTGTGCTTTGTATAGACATCAATTGTGCTTTTATCAGCGGTGTTTGGCAGCTTAAACACACACGGTGCTTCTCAAGCTCTGCATCAGATAATGAGAGACACTCAGACAGAGACATGGAGACAGAGACAGAGACATGGAGACAGGAAATCTACGTCCCTCACACCAGCTGTCATGAGTATTGGTATGAGAACAAGGAAGAGTGAGACGTGAGGTGATGCGCAACAGGATGGGATATATTGTAGCCCTCGGGGAAGGGCTGGAGGGGTCAGGACGGTTAGGTTAGGGTTCCCATTAAATTGCTCTCAAAATTGTCTAATAGACACATCAACGTTATGTGGTTTCATTGTTGGAGGAGCCTTGGTGGTCTCTTGACACACACAGGAGAGGAAAATATATACACACACACGCACACACACATGCCCACACGGACGCGTGTGCGCACACACATACACACACACGCACGCACACACACACACACACACACACACACACACACACACAACAACATGGCAGTTAACACTATAATTGAGAGGGCAGGCTCTGCTGCCTGTAGAAATAGATCCCACCTACTCATCATGGGGGACTTCAATCACGGAAGGATTGACTGGGAGAACAAGGAACCGCAAAGAGGCGAGGATACGTGGAGAGCCAAACTATTGGTGGTGGTAACTAGAAGCTTTTTAACCCAGCATGTCAGGGAACCCACAAGGATGAGAGGCAACGATGAACCAGCGAGACTCGACCTAGTCTTCACTCTGAACGACTCCGATATAAAAGAAATCGTTTATGAGGACCCAGTAGGAATGAGCGACCACAGTGTACTGGAGTTTGAGTACCTGATTGTAGAAGGGTTATTGAACTCGAGGAGGGATACCGAAAACAAAAGGCTGGCATTCCGAAAGGGAAACTATGAGGAGATAAGAAAATTCCTAACAGATATAGCATGGGAAACAGAGCTCAGGGGAAAGACGGCCCAAGATATGATGGATTACATCACGCAGAAGTGCAAGGAAACAGCAAACAAATTTGTCCCGGTCCAAAAGGAAAACAGTGAAATGAAGATGAGAAACCCATGATTTAATCAGAGATGTAGGCTAGCTAAGCAGCAAAGTAAAAGGGCATGGAGAAACTATAGGAATAACAGGACACTGGAGAGCAGAGAAAGATACCAGAATGCCAGGAATGAATATGTCAGGATGAGAAGAGAGGCAGAAAGACAATACGAAAATGACATCGTAAGTAAGGCAAAGACTCAGCCTAAATTGCTGCACAGCCACACCAGGAGAAAAACAACAGTAAAGGAACAGGTTATGAAATTAAGGTTAGGGGCAGAAGGATTCACTACAAACGACAAGGAAGTCTGTGAGGAACTGAATAAGAAATTCCAGGAGGTCTTCACCTTAGAGCAAGGAAATATTCCAGAGATAAGAGAGAGAAGAACCACTAGAAGAGTTTGAGATTATCAGCGGGGAAGTAAGGAAGTATTTACTAGAGTTGGATGTGACAAAGGCTATAGGGCCAGATGGAATCTGCCCTTGGATACTAAAGGAAGGAGCAGAAGAACTGTGCCTGCCACTCTCCATAGTGTATAACAAATCACTGGCAACAGGGGAACTGCCAGAAATTTGGAAAGCAGCTAATGTAGTCCCGATATACAAGAAAGGGGATAGACAGGAGGCACTGAACTACAGGCCAGTGTCCCTAACCTGCATTAAATGCAAGCTGATGGAGAAGATTGTGTGAAGAAAACTAGTGGAACATCTGGAGCGAAAGAACTTTGTAACACAGCATCAACATGGGTTCAGGGATGGCAAGTCCTGCCTCACAAGGTTACTTGAATTCTACGACCAGGCAACAAAAATCAGGCAAGAAAGAGAAGGGTGGGCAGACTGCATATTTTTGGATTGCCAGAAAGCCTTTGATACAGAACCACACAAGAGGCTAGTGAAAAAGCTGGAGATGCAGGCTGGAGTGATAGGGAAGGTACTCCATTGGATAAGGGAGTACCTAAGCAACAGGAGACAACGAGTCAGTGTGAGGGGTGAGGTCTCAGATTGGCGAGACGTTACGAGTGGAGTACCGCAGGGGTCAGTCCTTGGACCTATACTGTTTCTGATATATGTAAATGATCTCTCAGAGGGTATAGACTCGTTTTTCTCAATGTTTGCTGATGATGCAAAAATTATGAGGAGGATTGAAACTGAGGACGATAGTAGGAGGCTACAAGATGACCTAGACAGACTGAGTGAATGGTCCAACAAATGGCTGTTGAAGTTCAACCCGAGTAAATACAAAGTAATGAAACTAGGCGGTGGAAACAGGAGGCCAGACACAGGATACAGCATAGGAGATGAAGTACTTAATGAAACGGACAGAGAGAAAGATCTAGGAGTTGATATCACACCAAACCTGTCTCCTGAAGTCCTCATAAAAAGAATAACGTCTGCGGCATATGCGAGGCTGGCTAACATCAGAACAGCCTTCAGGAACCTGTGTAAGGAATCATTCAGAATCTACCACATATGTAAGACCAATCCTGGAGTATGCGGCCCCAGCATGGAGCCCGTACCTTGTCAAGCACAAGACGAAGCTGGAAAAAGTTCAGACTAGTCCCAGATCTAAGAGGCATGAGTTACGAAGAAAGGCTGCGGGAAATGCACCTTACGACCCTGGAGGACAGAAGAGTAAGGGGAGACATGATCACAACCTACAAAATCCTCAGGGGAATCGACCGGGTAAACAAGGATAAACTATTCAACACTGGTGGAACGCGAACAAGGGGACACAGGTGGAGACTGAGTACCCACATGAGCCACAGGGACGTTAGAAAGAACTTTTTCAGTGTCAGAGTAGTTAACAGATGGACTGCATTAGGTAGTGATGTGGAGGAGGCTGACTCCATACATAGTTTCAAAAAGTAGATATGATAGAGCCCAGTAGGCTCAGGAACCTGTACACCAGTTGATTGACAGTTGAGAGGCGGAACCAAAGAGCCAAAGCTTAACCTCCGCAAGCACAAATAGGTGAGTACACACACACACACACACACACACACACACACACACACACACACACACACACACACACACACACACACACACACACACACACACACACACACACACACACACACACACACACACACACACACACACACACACACACACACACACACACACCACACACACACACACACACACACACACACACACACACACACACACACACACACACACACACACACACACACACACACACACACACACATCTTACAGATGCTCATAGTGATCTGTACGAAGAAAATGCATTAAAAAAATAAAAAGCTTCGAAGCGACTCCTCCTCCTGTCTCGAGGTGTTTGGGTCGCCCTGGTCTGTGCTCGCGGACAAGAACGCAACAGGCAAAACACGACAAAAAAAAATATATATATATATATATGATTTTCAACACCTTTTTTTGAAGGAGACGACAGCACGACGCTTGACCTCGGAACCAGCTGGAGTTACAAAGGTAATAATCAAAATATTAATTCATAAATCAATTTATAAATCTGAAAATCTAAAAAAAAAAGTCATTAATTTGTATTACCAAAGGTGTACACCTGTCCTCTCGCCTGATGCGTCGTATTTGTAACGCAATTGACCAGTCCGATAAAATTGCGTAGTGGGAGTGTTATAATTAACATTAAAACACCGTAATGTGGACGTTTGTTATGCCACGACCTTCATAGGTTAGGTCAGGTTAGGATAGATTAGGTTAGGATAGGTTAGGTTAGGTTAGGATAGGTTAGGTTAGGTTAGGATAGCTTAGGTCAGGTAATGCTAGGTCAGGTTAGGATAGGTCAAGTTAGGATAAGTTAGGTTAGGTTAAGAAAGGTTAGGTTAGGATAGGTCAGGATAGGATATGATAGATTAGGTTAGGTTAGGATAGGTTAGGCCAGGTTAGGATAGGTCAGGTTAGGATAGGATAGATTAGGTTAGGTTAGTTAAGTTAGGATAGCTTAGGTTTGGATAGGTTAGGATAGGATAGCTTAGGTTTGGATAGGTTAGGATAGGATAGCTTAGGTTTGGATAGGTTAGGATAGGTAAAATTAGGATAAGTTAGGTTAGGTTGGGTTCGTACGTTTCTAGTTAAGCAAAACACCTGCATTGTTTAAGTGTCAAATCCTAAGACCTGGCTCCCCTGGCAAGGCTGAGTTGACTAGCACTGTAGGAGCAGGAAGTGTTGACCTGTCAATCAAAGCATCCTTCCCCACCTGTGGGCTAGGTCAGGTGACTCTACACAGGACCTGTGTAACACGATACAGGACCTGTGTAACACGATACAGGACCTGTGTAACGCTACACAGGAGCTATGATTCACTACACAGGAGCCAGGATTCACTACACAAGAACCAGGATTCACTACACAAGAACCAGGATTCTCTAGACAGGATCCAGGATTCACTACACAGGAGCCAGGATTCACTACACAGGAACCAGGATTCACTACACAGGAGCCAGGATTCACTACACAGGAACTAGGATTCTCTACACAGGAGCCAGGATTCTCTACACAGGATCCAGTATTCACTACACAGGATCCAGGATTCACTACACAGGAACCAGGATTCTCTACACAGGAACCAGGATTCTCTACACAGGATCCAGTATTCACTACACAGGATCCAGGATTCACTACACAGGAGCCAGGATTCACTACACAGGAACCAGGATTCGCTACACAGGATCCAGTATTCACTACACAGGAACCAGGATTCGCTACACAGGAGCCAGGATTCTCTACACAGGAGCCAGGATTCTCTACACAGGAACCAGGATTCGCTACACAGGAGCCAGGATTCGCTACACAGGAGCTAGGATTCACTACACAGGAGCCAGGATTCGCTACACAGGAGCCAGGATTCACTACACAGGAGCTAAGATTCACTACACAGGAGCCAGGATTCACTACACAGGAGCCAGGATTCACTACACAGGAGCCAGGGTTCACTACACAGGAGCCAGGATTCACTACACAGGAGCTAGGATTCACTACACAGGAGCCAGGATTCACTACACAGGAGCCAGGGTTCACTACACAGGAGCCAGGGTTCACTACACAGGAGCCAGAATTCACTACACAGGAGCTTGGATTCACTACACAGGAGCTAGGATTCACTACACAGGAGCCAGGATTCACTACACAGGAGCTAGGATTCACTACACAGGAGCCAGGATTCGCTACACAGGAGCCAGGATTCACTACACAGGAGCTAGGATTCACTACACAGGAGCCAGGATTCACTACACAGGAGCCAGGTTTCACTACACAGGAGCCAGGGTTTACTACACAGGAGCCAGGATTCACTACACAGGAGCTAGGATTCACTACACAGGAGCCAGGATTCACTACACAGGAGCCAGGGTTCACTACACAGGAGCCAGGAATCACTACACAGGAGCCAGGATTCACTACACAGGAGCCAGGATTCACTACACAGGAGCCAGGATTCACTACACAGGAGCCAGGATTCACTACACAGGAGCCAGGATTCACTACACAGGAGCTAGGATTCACTACACAGGAGCTATGATTCACTACACAGGAGCCAGGATTCACTACACAGGAGCCAGGAATCACTACACAGGAGCCAGGATTCACTACACAGGAGCCAGGATTCACTACACAGGAGCCAGGATTCACTACACAGGAGCCAGGATTCACTACACAGGAGCCAGGATTCACTACACAGGAGCCAGGATTCACTACACAGGAACCAGGATTCACTACACAGGAGCCAGGATTCACTACACAGGAGCTAGGATTCACTACACAGGAGCTATGATTCACTACACAGGAGCCAGGATTCACTACACAGGAGCTCGGTGACACTACACAGGACCCACGTAACACTAAAGGTCCAGTAAGCAGGACCAAAAGTAATACTACACCGGTCCTAAGCAACTCTACACAAGTGTGAGTTCTGGAAGTGAGAGGTCCTATACCACCAGTTAGACTGGCACTCCTCCCAGTTTAGCCACTGTGAACAATAGCAGTGCCACTAACTAAGTGTTAAACACCCATGGGTCTTAAGGACCGCTTACCTCTTCAGCGGTCTTCACGGATTTCTTCGGAATCTATATAAATGAAAGAGGGAGTGTATTAGAGGGAGCGTATTTAGAGGGAGTGTATTAGAGGGAGCGTATTTAGAGGGAGTGTATTAGAGGGAGCGTATTAGAGGGAGTGTATTAGAGGGAGTGTATTAGAGGGAGCGTATTTAGAGGGAGTGTATTAGAGGGAGTGTATTACAGGGTGTGTATTGTAGGCAAACGTCAATCCCGTGGGGTTATGAAGGTGTGCGCTGGGTGTCTAGTTGGATGCAACGTCTGCCGTGACTGTGAAGGCCAACCCGAGAACGGCAGTACTGGCCGTATCGAGCGCAGATAAACGCCGAAGCGGCTGCGTCTGTCACTGGTCGAGACCTCCACTGAAGTCTACTATCCTCTTTCTGTACTTTGCATCTCCAGGCAGATCTGTCCGCAGCTGCTGCCTCCTAAGTGTTAATGTCGATGTTCAGCTGCTTGAGGTCGCGTTTGCAAGCGTCTTTGAAATGCAGCTGGGGTCTTCCGGTGTGCGTCTTTCCCAATGCCAGTTCTCCATATAAGAGGTCCTTTGATATGCGGCCATCTTCCATGCGTGTGACATGTCCCAGTCATCGCATGCGTCTCTGCTTCAGGAGAGTGAACTCTGAAGGGACTCCTGTTCTCTCGAGTACTGTGTTGTTGGTGACGAGCTCTTTCCACGGGATGTCAGGGATGCGTCTCAGGTTCCGCAAGTGAAAGGTATTTGGCCGTCTTTCCTGGCGAGAGAGCAGGGTCCAGGATTCCGAGCCGTAGAGAAGTGTACTCACCACACATGCCAGGTAGACTTGTGCCTTGGTGTGTACTGTCAGTTTGACACTTGCCCAAACGCGCTTTGTGATCCTGGCCAGTGTTGTTGCGGCCTTCCTGATACGCCTGTTGAGCTCAGTGTCCAGGGAAAGAGTGTGCGAGATTGTGGAGTCCAGGTACACAAACTTGTGGACCTCCTCCAGCACGCAGGCTGTGATGTTTATACAGGGTAACTCATTAACGTCTTGTCCCATCACCTGTGTCTTCTTCAGGCTGATAGTCAGGCCGAATGTGGAGCAGGCTGAGGCAAAGCGGTTGAGTAGCTACTGCTACTCATGCCTTTGTGGTGATCGCTGTGTCATTGGCAAAGAGGAAGTCCCAGATGATTCTCATCTGTACTTTCGTCTTTGCTCGGAGTCTGGATAGATTGAAGAGCTTACCATCAGATCTTGTGTGGAGATAGATGCCCTCTGTGACTGTTCCCAAGGCATGCTTGACGAAGATCGCGAAGATGCCGAACAGGGTTGGAGCAAGAACGCACCCCTGTTTAACACCACTATTGATGTTGAATGGTTCAGAAGTTGAGCCGTCGTACACGACTGTTCCCTTCATGTCCTTGAGGAACGATTGTATCATGCTGAGTAGAGTGGGTGGGCAGCCAATTTTGACCAGGATCATGAAGAGTCCGTTCCTGCTCATGAAGTCCAAGGCCTTTGTAAAATCAATGAAGGCGATGTATAGGGCTTTTCTCTGCTCCCTGCACTTTTCTTGAAGCTGTCTCAGGGAGAACACCAAGTCAGTGGTCGACGTCTCGGCTTTGGAACCGCACTGTGACTCTGGGTACACTCTTTCAGCAAGAATCTGGAACCTGACCAAGACGACCCTGGTGAAGAGTTTGCCAACGACGCTGAGGAGGGAGATGCCGCGATAGTTGTTGTAATCACTTCTGTCACCTTTATTTGTGTAGAGTGATGGTGTTCGCATCTCTCATGTCTTGTGGCACCAAGCTCTCCCTCCAGCACTGGCGCAGAAGGTCATGAAGCTCAGTTTTAAGTGTTCCTCGAGTGCACTTGAGAACTTCAGGCGTAATCCCGTCGTTTCCTGGGGAATTCCCTGAGGAAAGTGAGTCCAGTGCTTTCTCAACTTCTTCCACAGTCGGGTGAAGGTCAAGTTCTTCCATGATGGGCAGGCACCCGATAGCATCCAAGGCTTCTACGCTGACTAAGTTCTCTCTGGAGTAGAGTTCGGAGTAATATTCCACCCAGCGATTCATCCGCCGACCACAGTCTTTAATGATCTCTCCAGTGGCTGACTTCAGAGGAGCCGTAGTGTTTTGTGTAGGGCCTGTTTGTTTGATCCCTTCGTACATGCCTCTTATTTTGCCGACGGTGCCCGCGGTTTGGATGCTGGAACAGAGTCGGAGCCAGAAATCGTTAGCACAGTGCCTTGCAGCTTGTTGAACTCTACTGTGGGCAGTACGGATGGCCTGTAGGTTCCTTTCTGAGGGCAGGTTCTTGTAGGATGAGAGAGCTTGTCTCTTTTCCTCTACGAGGGGTAACAGTTCCTCTGCACTAGCCTCGAACTAGTCTGCTGACTTGTTCTGCCTCTTACCGAAGGTGGACATGGCAGTGTTGAAAATGGTGCCCCAGAGGTGTGACCACCTCTCACTTGCGCTACCGCAGGGTTGTCCAGGAAGGGAGTTTACCAGTGCAGCAGTGAACTCCTCCACCTTGTGAAGATCACGGGTCTTGTTTACGTTAATGCGTGGTCTTTCCTGCTTTGCTCTGTGGATTTTCCGGGGGTGGAACTTTTCTTTGCAAACGACGAGAGTGGTCGGTGTCACAATCTGCACTCTGGATGCTGTGGGTCAGTTTGACGCTTCTCAGATTGCTATGCCCCGTAAGCACCAGGTCGAGTTAGTGCCAATGCTTAGACCTAGACCTGAGGTGTCTCCAGGAAACCTTGTACTGGGGCTTGGTATCGAAGAAGAAATTGGTGAGGCAGAGATTATGATGACATCAGAACTATAGGAGGCGCTGCCCATTTTCATTCATCTTAAATCCAAACTGGCCCAGGCATGAAAGCCAAGAGCTGTGATCGGAACTAACTCTTGCATTAAGGTCTCCCAGGAGGAAGACTGTTGAGGCACATCTCTGAGAGTGAGGCCAGTCATCATAGAACTCTTTCTTCGTTTCGGTAGAGGAGGTCAGTGTTGGTGCGTAGGTGTTGATGAGGCAGACTATTCTTGCTGCTGTATGAAGCTGAAGTTTGAGAGTCCTTGTAGACCCCTCGGTGGGCAGTACTATGGACCCTAACAACCTGTTCCTGATGCCAAAGCTAACTCCATGCTCCCTTACTTCTTCTGGTGGTTTGCCCTGCCAGAAGAAAGTAAAATCCTCCTCCTGTATGCTGCCGGTCGCGGAAAGACGTCTTCCCTGCAGGACGATTACGTCTTTGTAGTTCACTGTTGATCACAGCTGTCTTTGCGGGCGTCGTTCACTTCCAGCTGATCTTCCGAGAGACCCGGTGTCGTGGTCGTTACATTCCACGTGCCCAGTTTGAGAGCTGGGTGGCTCTGTGTTTGTTTTCTTTTGCCTGGTACATGGTTGACGAAGCCCCACCACCTGCTGAAAGGTCCAGTCCCTTGATGTCTGGAGGCGGTGGTGGTGAAAACCAGTTGTAGACAAACCCAACTATTGTATTAGAGTGAATTACAGGGAGTGTATTAAAGGGAGTGTATTAGAGGGAGTGTATTAAAGGAAGTGTATTAGAGGAAGTGTATTAAAAGCTGTAGTCAACTTCTTTTGTGGACGTGAGAATCGAATTATGTCAATATTCACACGTAAAATTGAATAATATATATTATATATATATATATGTATATATATATATATATATATATATGTATATATATATATATATATATATATATATATATATATATATATATATATATATATATATATATATTATATATAAAATTTTGTGAGGACAGATGTCTGTCCCCTCCCCAGGTTAACCTACTTTCTGAGGTGTTCACCATCTTACAGTAGCCAAAAACTAAGTGAGTATGACCGGTTACTGAAATCAATGCTAGAAAAAGCCCTTAACCTCTCTCTCGATGACCTACAGTGGAAACAAGCCTCTCTTCCCGTAAGACTTGGGGCCTCGGAGTTCGAACAGCAACGCAAATCGCTGTTCCAGCCTTCCTGTCAGCAATCCAGCTGGGATGGTCCCATTGTAGACCAAGTTGCTGCAGAGTGCCTGGGTGCTGCAACAACACAACACGACATTGCTCGCCTCACAGCAGTAGCAGCACCACATGCAGGGATTTCCTGTTAGCAACCCCAATGTCGGCAACTGGCACGCGTCTCACACCACACGCCCTCCGAATTGCTGTGGCCCTCCGCCTTGCTGCCCCAATCCACACCAGATATAGGTGTATTTGCGGCGAGGTGGTGGCTGACAGTACGGTCACCATGGCCTACTCTGCCAAAGCACAGGGGGATGGCACTCGAGGCACAGTGAAGTTAACGACATCTCAAGAGGACCTCACCACAGCTGGATGCCCAGCTGAAAGAGAGCCCCGTTACCTAACGCCCCGTAACTCTGATGCTCTTATTGGTCGCCCGGATGGTATCACAGTGAACCCCTGGAAGAATGGCAAGCAGTTGGTATGGGACTACACGTGCGTATCAACCCTGGCTAACACCTACATTAACCTCAGTGTTGCACAACCAGGTGGCGCTGCCACCCACAGGGAAGCAGCCAAATCCCGTAAGTATAGAGAACTGGATCACCACTACAATTTTGTCCCCATTGCTTCTGAGACGCTCGGCGCCTGGGGTAAAAGTGCTACCAGTTTTTTGAAGGAACTGGGTTCTAGGCTCATCGAAACAACAAGGGACCCGAGAGCTGCAAGCTTTCTTTTCCAGCGCCTCAGTGTGGCGATACAGAGGGGAAATGCGCACTGCATCCAGGGTTCCTGCCCGCCATCTGAGGAGCTGGAGGAACTCGACAACCTATGACAACCATCTTTGTAACCCATATGTAACTCCTTTTTTGTAACAAAGTTCAAATAAAGTAAATATATATGTGTATATATATATATATATATATATATATATATATATATATATATATATTACAATCGAGGCCCCCGGGGTTCAATCCTTGGACAGAAGAGAAATGTTATTTCTTCCCCTCCCCCCCCCCCCCCCCCCCGCTCTCGCCCAGTCAATTTGGAG